GTTGCCTCCGAACGGCTGTACGCTGTTCGAAAACTATAACACAAAACTGAAAAATTCTTGGACCGTGAGCGGGCTGAGACTTTCACGTCTCAGCACATCTGTTTATTTTTCGCCTGCTCCCAGCGGTTATTTTTTTATGGCAATTTCAAAATGAGGGTCGTTTTGTCTCTGGTGAAAAAAAATCTCTCCTTTCTTCCATTAAAATCCTATTGGAGAGGGTTGGGAAAGTCTGGACTCTGGGCCCGATTGCCGGAGAACCGTAAGGCCGAGGTCCACACCGGGCACATCGGCTGAAAGAGGACACCTGCAGCTACGTTTTGAGGCCATTTTGGCACCGCTCGGCCCTACGGATTGGTCGCGAGGGACCATAGTTTGACTTTTTTTCAGTGAACCTCCCCACTGGACTCTGAGAGCTCTTAACGAGCTGAATTAGAGTGCGGGCCAGGATCTCTGATTTTCTGAATTTCACTAAAACGTCAACAGCGATTGCGGGCAAACGGTGCGAGATCTGGCCTCATGGCTCCGATATGGCGGAGGCCCGTCTTTCGTGTCCCGTTCAATGTTCAAACGACGTCTCTCGGACGCTCTGGGCCCGAGCGATGAGGCCCTGACGGGCCTCATCTTTCGGCTTTTTTTGTGCCTTTTTTTCTGCGTCCCCCATGCATTCCTATGGGAAAACGCTCGCCACTTTTTAGCCGTTTCCTCGGAAACGCCCGCTCCTTTGAGAAAGTTATGAAATAGCACGCATGGCTAGGTGGGTCCGAACGCGCGTGCCGACTTTGGGCCCGATCCGTCGAACCGTGCGGGCCGAGAAGCGGTCCGCGGAAACGGGAGAATTATAATAACGAGGCCCACCGAGGTGGGCCATGCCGCAGGCGTGGCCCCCCTAATAAGCCGCGGAATAAGTATTTCGAAGAGTAATACGTGGGCCTTGCCGGCCCACCGAGGTGGGCCTTGCCGCAGGCGTGGCCCCCCTAAAAATTCAAATAATTAGAAAATAAATTACTAATTATTAATTGATTGATACAAAATGACTAAGTGATTAACAATGATCTAAATTAGATAATTATTTTGTCTATTAATAATAGACATGTAATTAATGTAATTCATATGTAATGATCCTTATATATACTGTATTTGATAGACAAAAGAGCACTATTGAATAGACATAATAAGAATCCAAGTCAATGATCCCCACAGTACACTCAATGCTTACAAGGCCTGACCTCAACAATTCTCTTCTCGGAGTCCTGATGCGGTTCCGTAAGGAAAAGGTAGCATCTTGGCAGACATACAGCAGATGTCTCACTGCTTTTTGGTCCAAGAGGACCACAGAAATGATCTGAGATTCCTGTGATACCCAGACAATGACGAGACAAAAGAAATCATAGAGTACAGAAAGTGCATGTTTTGGGCAGCAGTCTGTCCCCAGCTCTGCAAGGTTAGGCACAGTCAACTTTGTGGAGAGCCACTTCTATCTGGACAACGGCTTTTGTTCTGTGACGACTGATGCTGAAGCCATCAACTTGTTGGGCAGAATACAGAAGTCACTGGCTGAGTCAAACCCCAGGCTCAATATATATATATATATATATATATATTATATATATATATTATATCCTTACTTGTCTGGCACTGCATAGATGATCAATTCTTAGTAACATTAATTACATTACCCACTTTGAAATACAATATGTTCTTTACCATTATTAGCAGAAGTAATAAGTACTACTGCATGTGTGTGGTGTCACACAGAGGAGTTGCACACTGAAGTGTCAGTTAACATTGAATTAAAATGACAATTAATTCCTCTGCACCTCAGTGACTGCAATGATGGCACTTCTGTGTTATTCATCCACGTCTCTTCAGCTCCTCGTTGCTGTTTTCCCCGAAGACGCTGTGGCATGATAATTTCTCATTTGATTCAGATTTGCCTCGTAGTGCGAGCTAAGCTTACTGATAAGATCTCCTTAAGATCCAGACAAGTTGTCAGTAATGAAGGGAATCGCTTTGATCCATCGACAAATGGGTCATTTAGACAGCGTCTGGCTTGTGACGCCCTATGAAATCTCTATGGCTCTGTGTGTGTGTGTGTGTGTGTGTGTGTGTGTGTGTGTGTGTCTGTGTGTCTCTCGCTCTCTCTTTCTATCAGTTTCTCTGAGCTGAATGCTTCATGCACACTCTCTGTCTCACCTTCAATCTGTCAGAATAATAAAGATAAAACCTGAGGGAGTGACAGATAAAGACAAAGACCTGAAAGTACAGTTTTGCTAACAGTATTGGCAAGCTTAAAAGAATAATACCGATGTCATTTATTTTCTTCAAGAGAAGAACACTCATACACTCTGCATGAGTGTACGTTTACGTGTCTGTGTTGTGTGTTTTTATTCGATGTACATGGTGGTGGTGTTAGATGAGCGAGAAAGACTTTCAAGGAATGAAAAAGCACTTATGCATTGTTATGGAGCTCTTGCTGGACTTTTCGAATGACACTGAGTGCTGTCTGCTATTGAAATGATCCTGTCTGCCACAATATTCTGTGATGAAGGAAAGAGGCCGATAAAAAGCAGTAGGAAGTTTGCAGATTTATTTTTCTCCACATCCATTACTGAATGCAATACATTACTGACGCGTATACACTGGACATTTTCTGCATTCATTATTAATCTTGACCCAGACTTCGTGGCAGCAACACTCCCCCTGTTGTGGAAGCTGAACTGTTTGGATGGACAAAGAAAAAAACTATGCCCAGTCTGTGCCTTTTGAAATCAGCACTTCTCATAAACAAAATCTTTGCGATCAGCAGAAAACACAATATGCATCCTCACACACTAACACATTCGGATGAGACTCTAGTGGCATACCTCAACAGTCCCTAAAAGTGTGTATCTGGACGTTGTCTCGGCGAGAGCTAATTGGCTGGAATAACTGTGGAATCATGCACAGCTACACCCAACAGGAAAATGGAAACAGGCTGGAAATCTGAGGGAAAACCCAAACGGAATTAAAAAGGGGCTATTGCTTCCTAACCGGTGAAGATTTACACGCTGCTGCCAAGGCCATTAGATTTAAGTAGGTTCATACTTCATGCATGGCTTCGGTCCCCAAAGAGACCTGAATCGAAGAAAGGCAGTGATCAGAGAGCACAGTGGAGGGGAGAGATGAGTGGAAAGGGAAAGAGTGGAAAGTTTTTAAATAGACAGGGATAATGCGACAAGCAGAGACGAAGAGAAAAAAGGAGGGTTAATGAGAGATGGGAGCTCCGTCGGACCTGTAATAACTGCTTCTATTTAGCAATGCAACAGGAGAGGTGAAGGTGCTGCTGTGTTTAATTGTAATGAGAGTACTTTAAGAATTCGACAAAGCTACAAGCTGGATATTTGCTATTTGGCAGATGCCAAACTGCTGGATTTAAGTATTTGCCTGCAGCTCATTAATTATCACAGCTGTCAGCATTGATTCACTGAGATAAGTGCAAAGCAATCTGTCTTTCGCTTCTGTTTTGTAGGAAAAAAAAACTGGCTTCCATACATACAAAATTATACATACATATAAAATGAGTGGGCGTTCAACAGGGGAGATAATCCATTTATTTGATTGGAAAAACACACCTCACATGAACTACAGTAACCGAGAAAAAATTACTTTCATGCTAAAGAAGAAGATTTTAAGGGGGGGAAACAAGCACTCTCAGTAATAGTGACAGGCTTTTACTCCTGCAGTTAGAAGGATCAAGATGACACCTGCCTAATACAGTATGCCCTTCCCTCGTCCTCGTTAGTTACTTTAGCTATTTTCTCAGCAGGGAAGAATTCCTGGTGTGTCAAAAGTGTGGTTAAATTGGAACCTCAAGTGGTGATAGATGGAGACAACTTTGGACAGTCTCACTCCTCTGATGCACTCAGCTCATTGAGGAGAAGAAAAGCTTGGCCACTCTGCAGTGTGTATTTGTGCATGCGGGCCTGTAAAGTAAGTGCCTGCATATTAAAGTAAGTGTGTGATTGAGTCATTTTGATCCGCCAGATAATTTCACGGGTTGTCATGTGAGTTAATGGACAGAAATGGGATGCTTAGAGGTTTAAACTCTATTTGGGAACTAAGTTGAATATATCGTCCAAATGAGGGCCAATTACACAGCACTTCAGTTCAAATCACAGGGCACCACGGTGTGCTTAATGCACCTTTTGGTAGCATATCTGTTGGGGAAAGGGGGGCTAAAAGGCAGGCCTGTTCTTTAAAAGAACATGATGCTTCCTAAGTATCTTAGTTATGAAGTTATTTTCTTCTCATATGCATTTTTTAACTATTATTCTTGGTACAGTGCCTCTTCCTTACTTCCACATGGTCATGTTGCCACTTCTCTGCTCTGATTAATTTATGTGTGCAACATTTCTCTGTCTGGTATTTACTTCTGGTCCGAGTGAACAGCAAATTGACTTATTTTTGTACCAACACTCAATATTAAATGCAGAAACAGAAGGCACTGCTGAGAGAATTCTTGAGTATGTAGACTGTAGAAGCAGTGATAAATCTGTGCATATTTGTATAACTTATGTTGAGACAGAAATATGTAAACATACTCAAATTATGCCGAGTCCCATTGTGTTGACTTGTAAATCTTTACATTGTTTGAGGAGCAGTCTGTGTAAGTTTGGGTTTGGATTATTATGAAGCAAAGTCTCCAATATCCTCTAAAGTTTTGTCAATTCAGCCATGAGTCTATATTTGCGTGCCTTTGTATGTTTCCTGTGAAACATATCCTGTCTCAAGTTCCAGAGAACAAAGTTGTGAAACTCCTGGCTGTGTATCACAAAGCGCCCCCTTGAATAATAAACGTCCCATAGTTTATGTAACAGAAAAAGCATTGGTAAGCTATATTTCCTTGACTTTGTGGGTACAAGAAAAAAATAAAGATAAAAATGAGACATAAAGTTGCACTTTCCCGTTGAGATGCATGCTGAGACTTTATCACTCCTGTGATTGAGTGTTTGTTAATCTCATTGTTTCTTTTCATCCAGATTCGCTCAGACCAGGACCAAGACATCTCAATCCGATACAGCATCACCGGAGTGGGAGCAGATCAGCCACCCAACGAGGTGTTTAACATTGACCCTGTGCTCGGAAAGATGTTTGTCACCAAACCGTTGGATCGCGAGCATCGCTCCTCTTATCATGTGAGTTCAAATGCTGGGGTTCACTCATTGAGATTACAGCGATGCATGAAAAGCACACGTAGCTAACTGCGGTTGGAGAATGGGGAAAAATAATCTCTACACTCACAGTACAACACATAAAGGAATTTAGTGATCACAGGAACATTCATATACACAAGTTAGCTATACTTGTATATTTTGGGTTTGTCGAGTAGATGTTATACTGCTGTGTTATATTGCTGTCATCTATAACCATGGTACAACCAGTAAGTATGGTCTTTTCCATAACTTCTCGTGACAGCTCATGAGCCATAATGGGTAAATTCACTGTAACTTACTGAGTAATTCTGTCCTGCAAACAATCAAACAAACTTTACTCACATAACATTTTCAGCCGAGGTCTTCCATTAATCATCTTGGGTTTATCCTAGCTGTGTTTACCTTGGAGTCATCAATCTTAGGACCTCAGCTTTTCTCTCTATATATGTGCCACTGTTGTCTTTTTATGGGCACTTTCAGAGTTACAGTTCTGTTAAACTGGCCAGTCTAACCTTTCAGTGGGAGTTGGGGAGATTTACACCCAAGAGAAACAGCAATCAGTGAAGGGATTCGTTCGGAAAGGCGGATTTTGCTAAAGGCCACCAAGGTTTACTGTGTGAAAGAGGTGTGAGTGTGAAAGGCAAAGTGAATGAAACCAGACAATTGAGAGATGTCGAACAGATAGAGAAAGACATATCAGTTTAGTTTAAGGATTTCCAACTAGATGCTGCCAGAGCAACACAAATTAAGTCAAATCGTTTTCAATGAGAAAGAGCAGTTTCAAAAATCTTTTTGTTAAAAAAGGAATGTTTTCTTTATTGAGTATTTTAATCTGGAAAAGTACAGCAGAGACTGACTGACTTTGCGGTCTTTCTGTTTACCCCATATTTCATGCAAGGACAGAACAAAGTTAAGCACTAGTTCTTTTTATTACAAAAGAATGAGTTCACTAGAAATTAAAAACCAGCCATGCAAAGAGGTGCATTTTTATGAGGAAACTAAAAATAAAAAAATCCTTGAAGCTTCTGAGTCTCCTGTTTTACTCTAACTGAATGCTGCCTCATGTCAAATTCATAGCGCTGCCTTGCATAGTCTGTTTTCTCCCCCCTGCCTTTCAAGATAATAACTTTAATGTAGACTCAGAATTCCATTTTACCTTCTTTAAACATGGTGGTAATCTCTGACTCCTGCTGTTATTGAATTAGGGTTTGTGTGGTATGGAGGGACGAGGCGTGGGTAAAGATAAGGGCTGTGGATCCCAGCCTGCGACAGCACAGCGACATGTAATGTCAGTGTACGGCTACTGAGTACAGAACACATCAGGCCACGCTGTGGAAAAAGTAAAGGGAAGTTAACCTCAGAGGGACCTGGAGACATAATTTTGTGGAGGAGCAGACAAGCTGCCAGTAAAGAGAAGAGGTTGATCAGCAATGGAGAGAATTTTTGCCTCCATAAGGAGGAGAATGATGTGTCTTTCCTGCATTTTCTGCCAAAACAACCTCTAAAGGTTTACATTTAACAGGCTTTTGTGCTCCTGAATTGGCCTTGTAGCATTTTCCCATGAGAGGACCATCACGGCAATTCCACATATGTTGTATTTTCATTCCTATCTATTTGAGTACATTATCCTTTTTTGGGATTATTTAAATTCCCCCTTTCCTTCTTATTTCTACAAATTGATATCTGTCGTACCAAATTTCAGGGCTATCTTTTATCTGATATATATGGTCTATATTTTTAGGATCAGGATGTTTACAGCATTCCTTTCTCTTCTTCTTTTTATTTGATATGATACAGAATAAACATCCCCAGTGCATCAATCTGACAGAAATATAACTGAATAAGTCATGCTCAGGGAAATAAACATTCCCAAGCAAAGTGAACTGAATCAAAACAGTTTTAAAGAGAACCAAGGATTCTTTTTTAAAATGCCACTTCAGTCTGTTACTTTGACCTTTATGTAAGGAGAGAGAAAACAGACTTTCTTCATGTGCATTTTCCTCATAATTCATTTATCATGTCTGGTTTGATTTTGCTTTATCCAGCATGTCGTTTCCTCTCTCTCCAGTCTTCACAAGTAGAGAAGCAGAAAGGTTGCGTTTAACAATATGCATTCTGGTAATAACCCCATTTCCATAACTTGTGAAAAATCCTAGTTGTGGTGATCCAGTTGATATGAGAAACAGAGAGTTGAATTTAAGGTAGGTTTGACTTTGAGGTTCTCTTTGAAACAAAACCAGGGAGATTTTTTGCCAGTGATCCAACACGCTGTTCCTGAAATACACACTGTGTTTTTACAACTGATTCTTTTGTCAAAAAAGTTTAAAAAATACGGAAAACACTGTAAAAGCAATTTCTTCGCAGTAAGATCCAAAATTACCTTTTTTCATTGATATTATTAAGTTTAAGGAAATATTATCAAAGCTCTAACTCGTTATTTTAATGATAAATATCTGGCTTTGCAGACAAAAGGTCTTATTTTTTGTTTTACTTGGGATGCTGAGGAAAACTCATACTTTCAGTTGGTTGGTATGTTAATATTGTCTTGCTATATGAGGATACAGGATTTTTTTAACCCTTGTATGATATTCACTTTTGGGACCCTCTGGTATCCCTCATTTTGGGGGGTTTAAAACATTTATATTTAATAAACCATTAACATATAGTGTCTTTATCTCATTTTCATACAATTGAAATAACAAATATTTTTAATTATTGGAATTAGACACTCCTAGAACACAATTAACAATGGAAATGTGACTATTCTTTTTTACATAGTATTATAATTGGTGTTCAAAATTCACTATACTCAAGACTTGGGTGTGACAAATCATGCTTATCTTGGAAAAATACAGTTTAACTAGTGCCTAGCTCCTCAAGGAAAAGTCTTTTTGGGAACTCAAATTGACCCAAAGACCATATTAATTAAGGATATAAATGTCTGGGGTATAGTAACATGTGTGTAAATTATTTTTTGTTTTTTTGTATATGTTTATAATAGAAAATAAGCTAGGCCCATGGAGTTCCAGGAATAAAAATTGTATACATGTACCATTTTTCTTCTTGTAAAAATTTAAAATGGGTCAATTTTACCATACTGGGGTTAACCGTGTCTGAAACAAATGCTGTTACATACTTAACACTTTTCGAACACTGGATGTTCTGTTCCCATGTTTGCCTCAATCAAAGTATATTAAGATATTAAGAAGATGGTTAGTATATAGTTAAGTATGCAAAGACTTGGAATGCCAGCATTAAGTTGTAGATCAGACAGCTACACTCTGAACTCACCGGAGCATTAAAATGTTCTAAGCCAATGCATTACCCTCAGCTTCAATAGCTATGGGCTGTTATCTAAACTCATTTCCCCCCATCTCTGTCTTCCAGCTGAGAGCCCATGCTGTGGATATGAATGGGAACCAGGTTGAAAATCCCATCGATCTGTACATCTTCGTCATCGACATGAATGACAACAGGCCCGAGTTCAAAAACCAGGTCTATAATGGTTCTGTGGATGAAGGCTCTAAACCAGGTAATCACCCCAGAGGACAGATGGCAACAACCAAAGATGAACACTGAAACAGGAGCATTTGGAAATGGATTATCAGTCAAAAAAGTTACAAATATTAAGAGGTCTGTGGACAGTGGGTAGGTGGTACATCAGGACAAAATGATATAGTTTTAGCTCTGGAGATTACATTATTCCTTATTCCTCAATTTTGTAGTGGGAAAAAGAGAATTTAGTCCCTGCACTAGCTTCTCATTTAGTGTGGAGCAACAATGTCCAAAATTAAAAAAGCATCTTCATGCTACAAGAAAGCTTAAGGATTAAATGTACCACAATGCAACACCACTGGGTCATTTTATGTCTAACTTCAAGGCAGAATCACAGAGATGAGCTTTCTTTGTGCAAGCTTTCGTGTGTCTTATACTGATAAGCCAGTGTTTAGAGGACCAGAGGTGTTCACAAGTGGAGTTGAGGTGTTGATACAGATTCGTCTCGAATATGCTTTCTTTCTTTGTTATTTCTCTGGGTTTTTCATCAGTTTTTGTGCTGTGTTTTCCTCTCCCTCATCCTCTGCCCCACACGGCACAGAAGCCTCCATGGTATGCATGACATTCAGTTAAACAATCATCATAGAAAAGAGACTTTTAGAATTTAGAGCTCCAGTGGTTTCAATGGAAGGCCAATTACAGACTTGAATTAGTTTGCAAATTAAAGAGTCATTATGGGGACGTAATCCTGTCAGGCACAGCTTAGGACAACCGTACAAAGGGTCCACATTAAATCCCCTAAGTGTGCAGCCTAATGAAATTATTTCAGTGATGTGTGACACATTGTGATTCTTCATCTCTTTTTTTTGCATCCTTCCATCTCTCGAAGAAAGTATTTGGTTGAGAACCGATAGTCACAGCACTTGAAATCAAACCAAACACAGAGTCTGTTCTCTATTGCGCTCTTTTTTCTCCCTCCCTCTGTTCATAACAGATTTTTTTTTCCTCGTCTCGCTGAGAGGGCTTTAGAGTGCTCCCTCTTGCCGAGTCATTGACAAATGTTGCTTTGAAATGTAATGAAGTTTGAAATGGGAGCTGCGGTTACAATTATCCTCGGACAGGGGCTGTCACTGGCATGATATCACTATCTGTGGCAATTAGAATCGGCTACTGGAGAGAAAGAAAGAGATGGAGCGATTGGGTTGTAGACAGTGATCCCACAGAGTTTCATGAGCGTGGGGAGGCTGGAAAGCAAACAAATGGAGCATTCATGGAAGGACAGGCCTTATTCTTCTCACCAGATCTGTTTCTGAAGGGACTCGTTTATCTAAATTATCAAACAGATTCATCAAAAAATGGGCACTGCAATGGCACAGCATTCAACATTACACAAGGCACATCATGCATAGGCTTCAACTGTTTTTACAGGTACAGGTTGTACAGGTCACAAGACCTTTTCTAGGGCTTGAGGCACTAGCCCATTCTGATAATCTGTGCTTGTTCTTGACAATAGTCCCTGTCAAGTTATGTGTGGTTTTAGTGCTTCAGCTCCTGCCCAAACTTAAAAAATGGCTGGTCATCACCAAAAAGGACACTAGGCACAACTCCATTCTTTTCCATTGTGTTTTGTTTTATTTATTGAAGATGGTGTTTAGGTTTCGTTGGAGGATTTAGGATTCAGGTTGAAAACCTTTCAAGAATAAATTGCCAAACATAAATTGAGTTAGTGGCTCAACCATAAGCACAATATAAACTGAAAATTAGCAGGCCACAAGACATACTACCATATCTTCATAATTTCACCTAACATCTACCTTTTAATAAAAAATATATAAATATTTGTATATATACATATATATGATTGGTTCTGATTTGAGAAATAACGTCTTAGTTAGATTGTTTCAAAGTAATTGTTGTGTAAAGCATACCCTCTTTTGGGAAGGTATCGCTTTGCAAAATTACTTCCAAGTGTTACTGAAACGTATTCCCGACTGTTCACTATGTCCATACTGCAATGTTATTATTACTACCCAATAAAGAAGGATAGAGAGTAATTCTTTCTATAAGCACCCAGTCTGCAAACCAAGTGTAGTTTGCATAATATCAAGAAGTGGCTAATTTGACTTTTAATAATCTACTGATGTAGCAGTCACCACCAGCAACAGCAAAAAGAAAAATAATAAGGAAAACTTGGTCTTTTAGTGAAAATCAGTGATGATTGTTCTTATTAGAGGATGCTTAACCTCCAGTGGTTACAAACACTAACCAAATGCTGTTCTCCGTCAGGAACATATGTGATGCATCTGTCTGCGTTTGATGCTGATGACAACACCACCGCTAACGGAATGGTGCGTTATCGGATCCTCTCTCAGACGCCACACAGCCCCATCCCTAACATGTTCACCATCAACAGCGAGACCGGGGACATTGTGACGGTGGCACCGGGACTTGATCGAGAGGTTCGTTTTCACATGTTTTTGCTCTTCACGAGACATTACTGCATAAATGGCAAAAAAAAAAAAAAAAAAAAAAGCGAATCCCTTTAGTGTGCTCAACGCCTGCATGAAGTATATCTAACTGAAATATGTATTCCTAATGGAGAGCAATTCCAAACAGCCTCGTTTATCACCGTGTGGACTGTCAAATGTGCATGTGCATCCACATACACGGCAACAACTCATGCCTATTTTTTTTTACAGTAAATTGTCTTCGGTCACCTTGTTTATGGGGCTCTGAAAGTTTTGACAACATCCAAATGTGTTTATTCTCACAACACGGATGTGCTGGTGACAACTCTGCAAAGAAATCTGTGAGACGGATCGTCCTCCCAAACTGTCACTCGTGGCAGACCTATTAACGACACATCATGCTGCAGTGGGCTGCCTGCGGTGCGCTGCGTTTGGGCATGCATGCATGTGGTTGTGTGAGTGTGCATGCGTGTGGCAGAGATAGAGTGCACATATCTGCGATAGAATGCCCTTGACACCTGTCAGAAAAACACAAAAGTCCATATAATCACATCTACGCTCGATAAAACACAAGTAATGGCGGGAGGGGGGTGTGGAAACCAAAGCGGGGCTAGAGAACAAAAACAAAGCTGGATAGACTAGATGGGGTATTATCTATAGATGAAGGATGAACTGTGTGATTTGGCATGAAAATAGGGTGATGGAGGAAGAGAAGCAGGAAGGAGACAGCCAGTGCCAGAGGAAGAGAGGGCTAGGAGCTAACATGGACTAAACATTCCTCAGTGGAAGCTCAGCTGTTCATTTTTCTGTTTTATTTGCACAGTGCAAATCCAGGCAGTCACCCCAAAATGTAGAATTAAACCCCCACTAGCCCTTTTTTGTACTTCAAAGGACTGACATAATTATCTCTCTTGGCTGTCTCATTTTATTACAAATGATTATCCAGGTTAGAATCACTATGATCATATTCCTCTTTTTCAGCTGATTTCCAGACCCTATTTTCTCTACCCTGTTTTGACAATGCCAAGGTCTAACCCCACCAGCTTCACCTAACTTTACCTCAGCAGAGGAGAAAGCATGTAGAGCTTCTTCAAGGTTTGCCATACTAACTAATCTACCAGTCTCACTTATATAATTCCCATTACAAGATCACAATACAGTCTGAATTGTGAGTGTTCAGGCTTTTGATGACTGGATAAAGGCCCATGAACCTATGTCAAAACCCAAATAATGTGTCTTCTCTGCATGTTAACGCAGATGTAAATGTGTTTGTTGAATCCTGGAGCAGTGGATGATTGGGAAAGCATAGCCAAAGGCCTGCTTTTGTAACCTTTTGACCCTTTAAATATCAAAGTGATGTCTGAGCATCCCAGCCTTGAGAGCTGGTCTTTGTAATATGTTATTTTTTTCTGACCTTAATCGAGCCAGGGGAGAAATCAGGCCCTGGGATTGCAGAGTCCATTAATATACATGAACTAAAGCTGACGCTTGTGGCATGATCCCACAGCATAAGTTCAACATTGACCAAACTTTTCTAAACTTTCTCTACCTTGTGTTTGAAAAAAACAGTAAAGTAACAAATTGTTGTGTCCAGAGAAGGGATTTCTGATCATGGTTGTGCTAGTTTGGTGCATTGTTAAAAAACAAAACTCATTCTGGCTATGATCTAAAGTTCTAGAGAAACACATTGCAGCTTTTTATATTGTAGAAAGGGCTGTGTAGCTGTTTTTCTGTTAATGGAAGCAACAACAGGCACATGACTGTCAGACAGGACCATTTATCTTGGTGCATGACACAACAGGACACATTCGGAAATAATAGTTCTCCAGTCTCATGACAGAACATGAAATAACTTGATTGTTCTACAGCCAAACATTGTACTGTTACAGCAAAGGTTCACACATTTCACACTTACATTTTCATTATTCTGTTCCCTGAACAAGTTTTAACTTGTCAGCATGCCAATGCTGTATTTCTCTACATGTGTTACATCTTCCTAATATTCACAGGGTCACAAATGCTTAAAAGGAAAAAAGAAGGAAAGGCAGAGGGAGCTAATCTATTAGCCTTTGTGCTAGTCTCTGCTATCCCTTTCACAATTACTTGTTTTTTAGAATTTTGTACTTGCCCCAAACCACTTTGTTTAAGTTTTACGATACAAATGCGCACAGATAGCACATTTTAGTCTTCCCATCACTGCAAGTAGGAGGTTCTGGCATCAGAAAGGGATCTTGCATAACAATGACTTTTATTTTCAACTTTTTGGATGATCTTTACAAGTTTATCTGATGTGTATAATTTCCTCCGAGTGTGTCCACACAAACTACAGCACAAACAATATATACACCTGCTTTCCCGTAATGCTTGTGTTCCTAGAGAGCAGAATAGAAGTTGGAGACCTAGCTGGGAGAAAGAGCTTTCTTCTCTATATATTCTCTTTATAGAATGGCCAACAGCTGTGCTTCTGCAGGTGCACTTTTAGTCCTTTAGACTTTGGACCTTTGAAACTTTGACAGTTTCACAGTTTCCCCCGTGTTAGAGGTGTTATGCAGAAAAAGAAAAAAAATTATGTTTTTTCGTATTCTTTTTCTCTCGTTCCTCCCTTTCACCCCTGCTGGGTCTCATCCTCTGCTGTGTTCCTAACTTTTGAAATGTTTGCTTCCTCTTCTTTGTAAACTCCCACATTGATTCTCTTTTAAAGATTCCCTCTGGTCTGCAGTGGACTTTTAAGAGCTTGTTGACAGTAACAGACCTCAGTCCTCCAGAGGAAACTGAGCATGCTGTGGTGTTGTTGCAATGCTGAAAGGTTCAGAGGATCCCTACGTAATTACTCCGCTATCTAATTAGTGGAAGTGTTGTGTACAGGCTGTACATGGGCTGATGGGACAGTCAGGCTAACGCAAGATATGGAGAAAGAGGGTCGTGTGTGTGTCGTCATGTGTGATTGTGGACGCTTATGTGTGTATGCGGGTGTTAATGAGTGTGCGTACAAGGTTGGGGTTCGGCATCTCATCGGGCATCAAGATGAGAGGAGCTGAGAGGAGCTGTCTAATCCTCCTGATGCGGCGTCCCGGCCTAATTGGGATATTTACTTGGTAATTAGCAGGTGAGAGAGAGACAGTGGGAATGTAATTGGGAATCTCAGTGACGAGACAAATTATCCAGACAGTCAGCTCCCGGGCTACATCCTGCCTGCAGCCCATTAGCTGCACCCTGGGACAGAGAAAAAGATGGGGAGAGCAGCAAAGAAGGGGAAGGAAAAAGCCTGGGAACAGAACTGCATGGATAGAAAAACACAAATGCCTCTGAATGCAAATAAGAGACAATTTTTTTGGCTTACATTTACGTGACACTGTGTCATTTCAAAAGAGGAGAAAACGTTTATTATTGCCTCATATTACTGCTTTACAGATTAATCGCTGTCATCTGGATAATTTTCTTCATTGACCATCGGCAGAATAGAATGAACAGAGTTTTTGATGACATGCTGCACCCACTGGGAGGCAACTTTTCAGATCTCTGGCCAAGTTCCACAGAGAGAGTTTCAGCTCAGTCAACTGAAAGACCTCACCCTTTCAGATTGTGTGTTTTAAATATGACCACAGACAGCAACTACAGAGCAGAGCACAGGCAGACCGACTCTGCTTTGTTTTCCTCTGGGAATCACAGTCCGAGGCTGCTGTAAACTCATGGAAGTGGAAGTGCTCTGCAGATGAATAACTGCACAATGATGTGTTTTTTTTCTCCTTTTGTTTGTCTCTGCCTTTCACAGAAAGTGTCCCAGTATACCATCATCGTGCAAGCCACGGATATGGAGGGCAACCTGAACTTTGGCCTCTCCAATACAGCCACTGCCATCATCACTGTCACGGATATCAATGACAACCCTCCCATGCTGACCTCCAGAACTGTGAGTTAGCACAAATAAGGGTGTGTGGAAAGGTGACAATTTAGAGACGGGGGAGGGCTTGGCTTCCAAGAAGACAGGGAAAACATCATGTGTCTGGTGGAAAAAACACATGAGAGAAATGTATCGAAAGCAGAAAGTGGGACTGGGGACGAAGGGTGACATAAGGGCAGAATTAAACAGCTAAATGAAACAAAGTTTACTTTTACTTCAATTTTATTGTTTTGCTGACAAATCACTACTTAAAATCTGCCATTTAACATTTAAGAAGGAACCAAACATTTATCTGCGAGAAACTACGTTGTTGCAGCTTTTTGCTGGTGTATGGCGCCTTCAGAAAATGTGTGTACAAGGACAGTGAGGGAGAATGTGTGCGTCGAGGACACGCATGTGAACACGAGCTAACACACCAACTAACTAATCCATATTATTGACTTTCATCAGCAAGGAAACCAAAGCCAGCAAGTGGTTAATGACTGTTATCGTGATGGTGATATTTAGACGGATGATTGCATTACAGAGGGTCATTACTGAGAGC